ACCTTCTCATCAGACATGCCCTCCCCCCACAAAGATTCTCCTGCCTCTTCTTCGTGGCATGTACAGCGGGCCTCCTGCTGTGGTCTCAGCACCACGGTGTACCCAGGAGGCCCTCACTGGTGTCACAGTGACACTCGGAAGGCCTGATTTATTGGCACCATCTGAAAGAGTGAGTCAGCTGAGTGCAGAGTCCTGCCACAGATCAACACACCAAAACTCGGATGATGTGGGTAGCAAGTCATGCTGCTTGTGGATTGCTTCTTCCTTTTCCCATGTTGTTCAATATGGTGACCAAAAGGAAAACTGAAAAAACCAAATCTCTTAGTCATTTTTTTGGACAGGAAAAGCTTAATGTAAAACCGCATTAACTATAAGAGGTGGTTGGAGTATAGAGGAACTAGCTGCTAAGGGGTAAAGAACTCTAAAACACAGAAAGAGTAGATACAGGAAGCAGCCTCTATCTTCAGGTCTGAGGCAGGGCACCCAAGGGCGGAACAAGGATGGATGAGGGGGCCCACCTCATACACACACCCAGGAAATTCCTTGGACCTGTTGGAGAGCTTACATCCAGGGCCCACTGGATGAGGGAGAGGTCTGCAGAGGTGCTGCACTGGTAGAACTCTCTGGAAAGTAATACTTAAGGATGTCAGAGAAAACTGTCCAAAGGTGAGACTGCATGTGATACCAGACTGAGAATTTTCCCAAAGTGTGGTGCGCTTGGAAGCTGCCTAGAGGAAGGTGGGCATCATGGGCCAACAGGAGCCTGCTGGGAGAGATCACATACCAGAGGCAGAGACAAAGCCTGTCCCTCCTCTAGTGCATTGTTCAGTTGCTCAGTCACGTCTGACTCTTTGCAGCTCCATGTACTGCAGCATGCCAGGCATCCCTGTCCTTCAGCATCTCTCAGAGCTTGCTCAAGCTCATGTCCAGTGAGTAAGTGATGCCATCCAGCCATCTCATCCTCTGTTGTCCTTTTCTCTTCCTGCCTTTGATCTTTCCCAGCATCAAGGTCTTTTCTAATGAGTCAGCTCTTCACATCAGGTGGCCAAAGTATTGGAGCTACAGCTTCAGCATCAGTCCTTCCAATGAATATTCAGGACTGATTTCCTTTAGGATGGACTGGTTGGATCTCCTTGCAATCAAAGGGACTCTCAAAAGTCTTCCCCAACACCACAGTTCAAAAGCATCAATTCTTCAGTGCTCAGCCTTGATTATGGTCCAACTCTCACATCCATACATGACTGAAAAAATCATAGCTTTGATTAGGTGGACCTTTGTCAGCAAAGTAATGTCTCTGCTTTTAAATACACTGTCTAGGTTTGTCTAGGGCTTCCCTATGGCTCAGCTGGTAAAGAATCCACCTGCAGGAGACCTGGGTTCAATCCCTGGGTTGGGAAGATCCCCTGGAGAAGGGGAAGGCTACCCACTTCAGTATTCTGGCCTGGAGAATTCCATGGATTGTATAGTCCATGGGGTCTCAAAGAGTCAGACACAACTGAGCGACTTTCACTTTCACTTCTAGGTTTCCCATAGCTTTTCTTCCAAGGAGCAAGCATCTTTTAATTTCATGGCTGCAGTCACCATCTGCAGTGATTTTGGAGCCTAAGAAAATAAAATCTGTCACTGTTTCCATTGTTTCCCCATCTATTTGCCATGAAGTGATGGGATTGGATGCCATGATCTTCATTTTTTGAATGTTGAATTTTAAGCAGGCTTTTTCACTCTCCTCTATCACCTTCATCAAGAGGCTCTTTAGTTCTTCTTCATTTTCTGCCAGAAGGGTGGTGTCATTTGCATATCTGAGGTTATTGATATTTCCCCCAAAAATCTTGTTCCCAGTTTATGCTTCATCCAGCCCAGCATTCTGCATGATGTGCTCTGCATATAAGTTAAATAAGCAGAGTGACAACGTATAGCAGTGATGTACTCCCTTCCCAATTTGGAACCAGTCTATTGTTCCATGTCCAGTTCTAACTGTTGCTTCTTGACATGCATACAGTGATTAATGCAAAGAAATAGAGAAAAACAATAGAATAGGAAAGACTAGAGATCTCTTCAGGAAAATTAGAGATACCAAGGGAACTTTTCATGCAAAGATGGGCACAATAAAGGACAGAAATGATATGGACCTAATGAGTTAGGGGTGGGGGAGTGGGGAAGATGGGGCGCAGTAAGCCAGGTGGGAGCTGAAAGCAGACTTCCCTGTAAGACAAGATCAGATATGGAGAAGAAACAAGATAAACAGAATTCCAGAGAGAAACCCTCTAAGGCACATGTAGTATCACATGGGCTGCCCCCTTCCAGGCCCGCTTGCTGCAGGATCCAGGAGCTCTCTTCTGTCACAGCTGATCTCTCCACCTACCTGCTGTGAGGTGTAAAGGTAGTTCGTATATGAGGGTCAGTCAGACATAAATCTGGAAAAATCAACTGATGGAGAAAAATAGAATGAAGCTTACTTACAATTCCAGAAGTTAATTACATGACATGTGCAATTCTCGGTCCACACCCTAAGGAAGGTATATAAAAAATGTACTTCTTTTAGTGTTTTTTAGCAGTCAACCTAATTTGTGTTTCTTAACTCCATTCTAGTCCATGTTGGATTCCTAATCACTTCAAGAGTTTTTGCCCAGTTTTTCCTGAGTTTGCATCTAAGTTCAGTTGAGGATGCATCTGGTTACTGTGATGTCTGGTTTATTCATCTCTAGGGCTGCTGTAACAACCCTCTAACTGGTAGTATACATAAGTAACAGAGATTTATCTTCCCAATTCTGAAGGCTAGAAGTCCAAGATCAAGGTATGGAAGACTTGGCTCCTTCTGAGGGTAGTAAGGGAGAATCTGGTGGTTTGCTGGCAGTCTTTGGCATTCCAAAGAGTGTAGAGACATCACCCTGATCTCTGTCTTCATCTTCACATGGCATTCTCCTTGTGGGTGTCTGTCTTCAGATTGCCCCCTTTTTATAATAATGCCAGTCATACTGCATTAGGAACTTAATCTACTCTGGTATGATCACATCTTAACTACTTATGTCTGCAGTGGTCCTATTTTCAAGTATTCTGATGCTCTGAGGGTTAAGACTGCAGCACATGAATTTTAGAAAGGACACAGTTCAACCCACAGCTTCTTACCCTAGAGTATCTCTGCCTTCTGGTCCCAGCCGTGGGATGTGCAGCTCACCTGTTGCAGACAAGATGTCCTTCCTGCAGGTCCACATGGTTCATCAAGGCAAGCCCCTCTCTGTTCCTTCCACACCATGGTTTGTGGCACAGAAATACATTCATCTACACACACTTCAGCCTGGGGCTGCTGGGGAGGTGGTTTGAGGCTCCATCTACCTAAACATGTCATGTAGTCATTTTTCCTGAGCTCTAGCTGCCTCCCTGGTACTCTGGGCGGAAAGAAGAACAAAGGATCCCTCTCTTCTCAGATTTCATAAGCCTTAGAGAGGTTTTACTGTTCCCTGTTGAAAAGTTTCTCTGTGCTGGGGAACAGCCTGAAGAAGTGCAAGGTCTTGTCTGGCCTTTGAGATCAAAACTCAGAACCCTTTGTGGAACAATTAGCATATGTCATCTCTCAAGGCTGCCTCCACTTTAGGGCAAGAGAGATGCTGTCTGGTGTGTTTGAGGTGGGCATGGAGGAATGAACACACCTTTCCTCCTATTGCAGGTGTTTCCTCAAACACGTTTATGTAGACCATGGGCTGGCTAGCTATGGCCTATGGGCCAAGTCTGGCCCACCACTGGGTTTTGTAAATAAAGTTTTATTGGCACACAGCCACACCCTTTTGTTTATACATTGTCTTTGGTGCTATAGTGGCAGAGTTGAGTACTTGCATGGCCCATAAATCCAGAAAAATTGACTGTCTGGCCCTTTGCAGAGAAATTTTGTGGATTCCTGGTGTAGATTTTTGTTTCACAAAAGCCTGAAGACTTTTGCCGTCTTCCACTGTCGTATCTCTTCTATAAGGCAGTGATCACAGGGTGGTCTTACAGTGTGAAGACAAGAAATGGCAAAGAGTGGGAAAGAAATATTCAAAATGAAATGGTTAGGGTGTCAGAATGTCACCTTGCTAATAGGACTGTACAGTTTGTGAAAAGTCATTGAGCAGAGCAGCTGTGATTTGCGCTGATTTCAGTAAAAAACGTGCCCAGGGAATGGGGGAGGCAGTCTTACCCCATCATGATGTTCTCGGCATGTGGAAGTGAAGAGCACTATTGAGGTGGCCCCTGTGAGAGTCCTATGAGGACACCAGAGCCTTGCAGAAGAGCTGGGCGGGGCCAGCTTCAGCCAGCCGGGCCTGGGTCCTGCTGCTCCCCAGCGTCCTTCCTGTGTGTAGACGTGGCCCCAGGACACATCTGGGTCTGCAGAACTGGTTAAAGTCCCAGTTTCAGCACAGAGCATCGAGGAACCAAGACTGCAATCTTAAGCATGTGTGGTCTCACGTTTGTCTGGTAAAGGATGCAGAGCTGGGATCTGGCTGGTCTCTACCCAGAGCCCATGAACCAGTGAATTAATACTTCTGATTCTTTTCATTATAGAGTAAATGAGAGCTATTTATTTACTCAATGTGAAACTTAGTATAGCTTAGTGAAACCTCTGAAGTATAGCTAGCAGCCATTTAAAGGTCTTCATTCCGTAGAAGAAAAAACCCCAAAAAAACCCACACACGCCAAAAATTCCCCTTGGGGTTTTCAGTGTTACAGATGGTCAAGTTTTAAGTTCAGATGAAAGACAATTCTGGGATCTTGCTGAACTGATCCATCCCGTATCCTATTTCCAGATGACCTTGATTTACAGTTCTTGGATGCGTTTTTCTCATGGCTTACTGAACATGCCGTCATTGTGGGGCTGGGATTGCTGAGGGAGAGTGTGGAAGAGGAGAGGGGGTGCTGCTTTGGAAACCCTGCCTGCCCCTCCCCCTCCTGGAAAGAGAAGCCACCCGTGAGCCCCCTGCTGTTTCTGCGGCCCGTCTGGTTAACGTGAGCCCTTCTCTTCCTTCTAGCCCAGGACCAGGAGGCACGCACTGCCTGGGCGCCAGTGTGGAGCACACAGTCTGCGAGAACCTGCCCTGTCCCAAGGGCCTGCCCAGCTTCCGTGACCAGCAGTGCCAGACGCACGACCGGTTGAGCAGCAAGAAGAAGGGCCTGCTCACCGCAGTGGTGGTTGACGGTAAAGGCACATGGCACATCCTTTCAGGGGAGCTTCCCTCTCCCTTCCCCCAGCGCCATAAACACCTCCTGGGAGAACCCATAGGCATCCCCACCCCCAAAATCCACCCAGTCCTGCCCGACTCAGCTGTGGACCCACTTCTTGAGCCGTGGGTTGAACTTGGATGACCCAGCTCGGTGAGATTTCCCAAACAGCCATGAGGCAGGCAGCAGACCTGATCTCTCCTGATCTCTCCTGCCCGGGTGTGCTGGCAGCCTGCCGTCCAGTGCCCTGCGCTGCCAGGCACTGGCCGACCCTGAGAACACAGCTCTTGCAGGAGCAGGACAGTGGGTTTGTGTGTCTGCTATTTCTCTTTCCACTGGTGATGCTTTCTTGCAATCTTTACTTGGTTCATCTTGAGCTGGCTCTTACTCCTTGACTGGAGTGTTGGGAAAAAGTTTTGTTTTTTTTAACTGAAGTAACATTGGTTTATAACATTATGTAAATGTCACATATGCAACACTATATTTTTCACTCATGTATACGCTACAGTGTGCTCCTCACGAGAAGTTAAATTTCCATCTGTCACCATACAGTTGACCCTCTTTACCTTCCCCCTACCCCCCTTCCCTGCTGGTAGCCACTACTCTATTCACTGTATCTGTGTTTTTGTTTTGTTCGAGGACAGTTTATAGCTTGGTGAAGATGACAGTAAGCACAGGTCATCTTTTCTTTCCTACAGTTTTCTCTCAAATCAAGAGACTCTGCCCCCTGGGCCATTGCAAGCATTTCCAGTGACTGATAAAATTCTAGGTGGAGTATCATGTCTATAGAATTTGTGATGTTTGTTTATTGTCCACAAGGATATCCCAGGGCCTATTGGAGGGTTTTTTCATTCTTAAGATTCTGTTCGTCTTCAGAAAGCAAGAGTGCGTTAAAGTGATGACAGCATGGTCCCGTTTATGGAGCATACCACGTGCCAGGCTCAAGTTAGCTCTGCATGCATCATCTCATTGAATGTGCAAAACAAGCCATGCGGAAGGTGAGAGGTTACAGGTTATGTGACGTTTCTTAGCTTCGGCAGCTGATAAGGAGCTGGGAGGGAGCTGACCCCAGTTCTGGAGGAGCTGCTGACTCAGAAAGTAACCAGCTGGCTTCTGGTACTCGAGTAAGAAAAAGAAAGTTCTTGAATGCCGAGTGAGGAGCTTTGGTAAGAACTCAGGCAACTAGGCCTGATTTTTACACAGTCTCTGAAGTATTTTGCAGGAAAATGAGGTTCCTGTCTCAGGACTTAGGTTTCTTCACTGTCATGTGAAGAACCTCTGAAATCTACACTCTGTTACACGCTCGTGTGCATAACTGTGTTGGGGGTAGGCCCAGGCGGTTCAGGGAAAAGTAGACCCAGACCTATAGCTTTTAACCCAACAACCTGACCCATGACCCATTAGCTTCCTTCAAACTGAGATGGAATATTCTAAACCATCCCAGGGAACATCAACTCAATCGGCAATGGGTTCATTTTAAAGCATTGGGAAGTCCTTCAGACATTTTCCTTTTTCACAAAGACCACCACCTTTGGGAGCTGTGTGACTGTGGCCGCCCTGTCACATAACCAGCAGACTCCCAGGGGGATGGAGCCTTCATACTCTCCACTTTCCCTGCGGACTAGGGAGAGAGGAGACCCGTGCTCCGCAAAGTGGGACAGGCAGCTGGAGGCCGAGGCTCACAAGAGCCTCACAACTCTGCCTGGGCATCCGTCTGATGCAGGAAGACGCTCGAGGCTTCTAGACATCCCAGACACTCTACTCGGGAGGGAGGGAGTGCCGGCAGCGGCTGCCGTGCTTCCAGCGCGTTTCCACCCCTTCAGCCCCATCCCCAGACTCCCAGATGGATAGGTTCGGGTCCCTTGCCTGTCCTCTCCCTCATCTTGGGAGAGAGACGAGGTCAGGTCTGGACAGACGTGCCTCACTCTCATTTCCCCTCGGCCATGTGCACGGTCTTGTTATTCATTCCTTGGTCTCTCACTCCAGTTTTCAGCTTTCCTGCCTCATTTATTCAATGCAGAAATCCCACTGAAATGTCTATTTTTCCATAGATTTCTCCAAGTCCAGATTAAACTTCTGTTTTCCTTGTAACCGCTTTTGGATCACTGAGCCGCTAGGTTCCTTATCATCACAGTGGCTGAGGCTGATGTCTGCCCAGAGAGCCCCCTTCAAGGAAGCCTCCAAGTACAGCTATCTGGGGAAGCTGGCTGGGTTCAGAATGTGTGTTGACCCACTCACTTTCTGTTTCTGCCAAAGCAATGAATAGTTACAGCCAGAGTGCCACTGCCTTTGATCTGGAAAGTGCAGCCCTCTGTGATAAGGCGGTGAGCACTCTGCCTTTGAAGGAAAGACCTCAAGTTCAGGGCTTTGCCAGGGTAGCTTGACCCATCCCCCTCGGGGGTGGAATGGTCAAGTCTTCTTGCATATTTGGTTTCATTTCCTTCTCAAATAGAAACAGAAGCCAGCTTTTTTTTTTTTTTAAAGGAGTGTTTCACAAGGATAAAAGCAAAATAATAAATGGTCAATTCAGAAGGTAGGGGGAGAATACAGATTATAAGTGTTCCCCTCACAACTCTGTTTATAAAAGGAACAATTCTAGCTCAGCCGTGAGAGGAACGATTCCTGTGGTTGGGCTCTGGGCTCTTCTGAAGCCCATTATGACTGCCCCATTCATAGCATTGCTATCGCTGTGGAATTCTTTGGCGAGTGACGCACAGTTCAAGAAAGGGGAAGCTATATTTTTTTTTTCTTTTTTCTCTTATTGAAAAAAAAAAAAAGAATTCTTGCAGAGGTAGATTTTCCAAGGGAGGGCTCAGGACCACAAATTCATACCACCTCCAAAAGAAGACAAAGACTCTCCTTAGAAAATATTTCTAAGTGGAAAAGCCTTTAGACAGAAACCCAGTGAGGTGGCCTGTTGCCAAACCCACCCCTTTTCTGCCTTCCCCGTGGAATCTCGTTGAAGTGGAAACCTTCAAGAGGTTAGTCCTCCCTGCCCAGGCCAGCAGGCCACATGCCCACTGAAGTGTCAGAGGCCATGGCAAAGGCCCTGTCTAGATGTGGAGGTGCTTTTCAAGCTCACTGTCTGCGACATGGCAGGACCCACTGTGGATCTGAGCCTCCCAGGGGATGGAAGGTCCGATGGTCAGGGCTCTCTCACTCCAGCTTGACCATGCTGGGAGCTAGAATTGCTTAATGAAAAAAAAAGAGTGGTTGCAGAGATGCAGGGTGTCTCACAGATCCCCAGGGCCAGGAGTAGGAGGAAGTTCTGGGGCCAGGGTCTCTGGAGATGTCAGGACTTTCTGTCCATGTTCAGCTTGCGTTTGTGAGCCATGTCTTCCTGCCCCTGCTGCAGACTGACTTTCTCACAGCTTGTCCACAAGCAGGCTCATGGGCAGCCCACAGCACCTTTTATTAAGTTCTCCTCCTGTTTCCAGATCCTGTGGGGTCAGATGTGGTTGGGAGATCAGAGTACTTCAGCTGTTAGAAGAATACCAACCATATATCAATCATGTATTACTTAATATCTCAGTGGGGTCCTGGGAAGCACCCCTCAGTCAGACACATGGACACCTCCAGGTTGCTGGGGAACAGTGTTTAAGTGTGTTACTGCATACTACCAGCAGCCTCATGTCAGTCAAGGCTAGTTTTGCAGCCTTTTGTGTCTGCCGTAAATGTTTAAAAAAAACAATGCCTGCAGCTTTCAGAGATTCTGGATTTCTGAATTGTGGATGAGGGAATGTAGACTTCTTAGAGCTCCATCAACCTTGAACATGTATAACCTCTCTACCTGAATATTCATTGGAATAACCTTTGTACCTGAGTTTCAGCTGAAACTGAAGCTCCAGTACTTTGGCCACCTGATGCGAAGAGCTGATTCATTGGGAAAGACCCTGATGCTGGGCAAGATTGAAGGCAGGAGGAGAAGGGGATGACAGAGGATGAGATGGTTGCATGGCATTACCGACGCAATGGACATGAGTTTTGAGTAGGCTCCGGGAGTTGGTGATGGACAGGGAAGCTTGGCATGCTGCAGTCCATGGGGTCGCAAAGAGTTGGACATGATTGAGGGACTGAACTGATCTGACTTTCAGTGCTGATTTTCCAGGAGAGAGACTTTGATTAGTCTAGCTGTGGTCAGGTGGCCATTCTTGGTCCAATCAACTTAGGCCCCTTGAGGCCTGGCTATGAGGCTGTGGTGGGGAAAAAGACTCTGAATGGTCTAGCTGCAGTCAAGTGGCCACTGCCGGTCCAATCAGCTGAGGCCTGGCTGTGGGTCATGGTGGGCAGTTTTGGAGATAGGGAGCCGAGCAGCCTGCTCAGCATGGATACCCCACAGAGGGCCAGGCAGGACTGGGGTGAGCAGCTATGATGGGCTCAAAGTTAACTAGTCTCCACCTTAGTAAGACTTTGTAACTACTGGCAGAGAGAGAACGACAAAAGCACAAAGAACCACAAGTGTCCTCTTCACCCTCCTGGCCCCAGAGCACCAGGGCAAGTCCTCCAAGCCTCCATCAAGCAGATGCGGTGGTATGGCTCTCAAGCCCCCAGGCCTGTCTCACCTTCCCGGTTTGCGGCTTCCCCATCAAGTGTAAGTCCTGACAACAGGTGAACCAGTGGAAAGCTGGGACCCACCCTAAACAGACTGAGAGAAGGAGAAGGGGATGACAGAGGACGAGATGGTTGGATGGCATCATCAACTCAATGGACATGAGTTTGAGTAAGCTCCGGGAGTTGGTGATGGACAGGGAGACCTGCTGTGCTGCAGTCCATGGGGTCACAATGAGTCAGACATGACTGAGCGACTGAACTGAACTGATCCCAAACAGCTTCAATTCAGATTTCATCTTGGCACACATCAGCCAGGCAAGAGGGATGTTCCAAGCTTCTCTCCTTAGGGTATATGATTATATAACTTTTAAGAAGATTTTACCTCCCCCTATACAACTGAGGGCTTTCCTGGTGGCTCAGACGGTAAAGAATCTGCCTGCAATGTGGGAGACCTGGGTTCAGTCCCTGGGTAGTGAAGATCCCCTGGAGGAGGGCATGGCAACCCACTCCGGTATTCTTGCCTGGAGAATCCCCATGGACAGAGGAGCCTGGCGGGCTATAGTCCGTGGGGCCACAAAGAATCGGACACGACTGAGCGACTAAGCATAGCACATACAACTGAGGATGTAAGAGTGTTGATACTGCCCAAAGTTGAAACCCAACACCTCATGTTATTTATCAGGAAATTAATTGCCCAGCCAGGGCAGCTCAGAGGGGAATATTCAGAGAATTTTGAGAGGTTCTGAGATGCTCAAGCTTTATAAAGTTTATCCTGTGTCCGTTTGGGACATACTGCTGTACCTTCCTAGAGGTGTGGGGTGCCCTAATTTCTGAGGAGAATCCTCGGAAAAGGAGATGGACAGATGGAGTGAGTTCCAGCTGAGCAGGGGAAGGAAGTGTTACCTCTGGGCTCTGTTGTGGGGCTTGAGGCTCTCCAGACTGCCCAAGCCCTGAAGGACAGTGTCTGCAGGTGGAATAGTAGAGTTGAGTGTACCTTCTTGCCTGGGTTCATGTCAGAATCCCTCCATCTGAGGTTGGGGTCCCCTGATTTGCAGAGTCTCTACTTACCTGATGTTCACATCAAAGAACCCGGGTAGACCATCTTCATCCCTTTCAAGTCTGGTCTTTCTAACTTACCTCAGAGAGCCTCTACTTTTCTACCCAAATCCCATTTTCATTTCTGCCTAAATCACAGTGTATACTCAGAAGCCAGAGAAGTTCATAAAAGTGGTGGTTTGTTTTCAGCATGGTGTCTTTGGTACCTTTGACTCCCAGAGTTCTCAATTCAGAAGGAAAACAGTGATGAACCAGGGTCTGGCCCTGCCTGTCAAGGGGCTCTGGGTAGCCACACATATTCTCTGAGCCTCACATGCTCAGCTGTAAGAAGGAATGATGACAACACCCTCCTGAAATGCATAGACACTGCTTAGCATGCTGCATGGCACAGAGAAAATAATGTTATTTACAATTTTATCATCATCATCACCATTGTCATTATTACTGTAGTTGAATGAATCTCCTCAAAGCTCAGTTACTGCAGATATTGAGGCAGCTCTGCAGTTTAAATGTAATCCTTCATTTTGAAACTGCTTTGGACAAGGAATCCATCCTTACAATGAAACACTAGAGGAAGCCTAATATGTGGCGAAGGTATATCCATCCATTCAAGATTGGGACTCTGTGTTGCCCCTCTCCCAGTGGCTCCCCGACATGCTTATAGGAAACCTCAGGGTCCCAAAGAGCACCCCAAAATTCTTGTCAAATTAACCTCCCAGAACCTGATCTCAGTTTACACTTCAGTCTCCCATAGTTCTTTCATTGACCTTCATCTTGGGTTATTTCATCTAAATGAAGGGACAGCTGACCCCAGCCTGCCACCTGGGGGAATGGATCATTCCTTCCAGTATGCCTGTCCTCTTGACAGCTCAGATCAGACCTCTGAGTATTTTCACAGTCTGCCTCATCCAGAGTTTGCTGTTCACTTGTCCACAAGACCACCAGGGCCTTGAAAAGCATGCATGATTCATCTTTCTTTCCCAAGCAGTGCCAGAACAGTGCCTTGTGTGAGAGAGGTCCTCCATCCACATTTATTAAATGAAGCACTGTTACTTTGCTTACTTGGGAAACTACCCTTCACAGTTGATTCTCGCCTACCCCCCACCCAATAACTGAAACAGCCAAGTTGAACACCTGTACTCTACCCCTATAGCTTCTTTCTAGCATTCTAAGACAAGATTCCCAGTGGACATGTTGGTCAGTAGCACTGTGTGGGAGACGAGCTCAATGGAAAGCTGCTGAACACAGTGGCAGTTTAGTGAATGTCACCCCATCTCAAAAGCTGCAGAACCTGGGTGAGGCAACATGTCTGCTCTGACAAGACCTCTCCAGCTAGGATGTCAAAGTCTAAACTGAGGCCATGCCAGCTCCAGAAGCCTTTTGTTTTACCCCTGCCTTTGTTTATCCGAGGCCACCAGAAGGTCCTCCTGGGGAAGGCTCATAGTGGAGATAAAAGACTTGGCAGAAACAACACAAAGATGTTGGCATTCCTCTCTCTGAAAGTTACTTTGTAAAATAATCATACAAACTACGTTAGAATTAGGTGACAGAGAGAGAGAAAACAGTGCATTTATCTTTTTCAATTACCTACAAAAGAACAAAATCCATTGTATTATTGTTTTTTTAAGTCCTCTTTTCCCTACTTCAAACAGTGCCTTGTGTGAGAGAGGTCCTCCATCCACATTTATTAAATGAAGCATTGTTACTTTGCGAACTTATAACAATGTAAGTCCTAGCTTACTGGATGTCCTAGCTAATGCAATAAGACAAGAAAAGGAAGTAAAAGGTACACAGATTGGGGGAAAAGAAAACTATCTTTGTTTGCTGGGGAAAAATATCTTTGTTTGCAGATGGCATAATAATCTCTGTAGAAAATCCAAATGAATCAACAGAAAACTAAAAACCTCCTGGATTGTAACAAGGTTGCAGGACACAGCATGTACAAAAGTCAGTCACTTCCCTATATAATAGCAATGAGCATGTGGAGTTTGAAATTAAAAACACAATGCCAGGGACTTTCTTGGCAGTCTAGTGGTTAAGACTCTGCTTCCACTACAGGGGGCATGGGTCCAATCCCTGGTCAAAGAACTAAGATCCTGCATGCCGTGCCTCACAGCCAAGAAGTAAAAAGAACACTACTGGAATTCTTAAAATAAAAACACAGTGTTGTTTACATTAGCACCCCCAAAATGAAATAATCAGGTTTAAATCTAACAAATATGTATAAGATCTGTATGAGGAAAGCTATAAAACTCTGATGAATGAAATAAAACAACTATATAAATGGGGAAATATTCCATGTCGGTGGAAAGATATAAAAATCTCACTTCTTTCCAATTTGATCTATAGATTGAGTAATCCTGGTCAAAATACCAGCAGGTTATTTTGGGGCTATCAACAAACTGATTTTGAAGTTCATACCATAAGATGAAAATATTTACCAAGTCCTTTTGTGAGGCAGATCCTGGGACTGACCAAAGATGAAAGTTTGACTCCTTGTCCTCCAAGGGCTCCAATTCCCATCAGTTCTTTCACCTAAAGGTAATTTGCAATCCACCCCCTTCAAACTTCTGTAGCAAAAGGACTCACCTTATAAGAAATCCAAGACAGTAGGATTTGAGGGCTGTAATGGAGGTGTGTGCAAAGTGCAGGTGGAAATTGCAAGTCAGAAGTGGCACGAGAAGAGACGGCTCTGGAGTAGAAGCTTCCGGGGTGCCAGAAATATTCCAGAAAGCTAAGTGAGTGGAGGAATTTCCAGGCAGAGAGAACAATCTAGGTAAAGGTGTGAGATCATGGCATGTTCTGGGAGCCCATCTGGTTCCAGCAGCAGCAGCAGAAATCAGGATTTCCATCGTGCCTGGGGAAATGGCTCTTACAAGTTGTCCTAGAGACTTATGTGTCCCCTTTCTGTTTCTTATTCCTATACCATTTCTTCCAGGACCTTCTTGCTGCAACGCACAGCCCTGCAGCTTTTCTCCAGTGGCTGAGAAGCACTAAAACTTCAGCAAAAGCCGCTACTCTGGAGACACTCCAGGGCTGCTCCCCTTGCTGGGAGGCCGCCTCCTCCCCCTTCTCCACCCCAGGCCCACCCTTGGTACATATTCAACTTGCTTAGAAGTTAGCACTGGACAAAATGTTTGTTCAGCCTGGTATTTTTAGTACTTTAAGGAAACAGAAATACTGTATCTTTGCAAAGGATAAAGAAAACAAAGTGAAGAAAAGCCCACAGAGCTCTCACCTGCCTGCCTGTCACCCAAGTCAGGGGAGTTTCTTTCTCCATGTTCTGGGTCACGTGTTCCAAGGGGTGGGTAAAGCATGTGTCCTGTACCTGTGACCCCAGACTTTTCATCTCCTGGTCTGGCCTGCGCCTGCAAGCATCATGCACCCCACCTGGCCCCCAAGACCCTACCCACGTCAATGTCCACCCCTTTCCCTCCTCAGATAAGCCATGTGAACTCTACTGCTCACCCCTCGGGAAGGAGTCCCCACTGCTGGTGGCCGATAGAGTCCTGGACGGCACGCCCTGCGGGCCCTACGAGACGGATCTCTGCGTGCATGGCAGGTGCCAGGTGATGTGTTTTCCTTGTGTCCTTGGCAGGGTTTTGGAGGGCAGGCTCCCTCCAGGGGGAGCTCGGGTGGCAGAGGCCTCAGAAGGCCTGGGTGAGTGGACTTTCTCAAGAAGGCATCCCACGGGTGGTGGTGCCTCCTGCAGCCTGGCACCCCTCCCTCCCTCAGCAGTGACTGAGTGTGAGGCCCACCTGTGGGCCAACCAAGAGTTGAGGTGCTGAAAGAGCAGGGGCAACGTGGTCGCCGCAAACGTCTTAGAGTGACTCTGGGCACCACGGCAAAGGGGAGGGCAGGCAGGCTACTTGGTGACTGGAGGATGCATATGATGTGTTTGGGGGCAAGCTTTGCTTGTTTAGCTATCAAAGATACAGTACAACTGAGCTGATGCCTTCGCAGGTGGTACCTAGGGAGGTGAATATGCCTGGCTTTGGGGCTCCACCCACTGGAATATAATCCACAAACCCATCCTGGTGTTAGATGTCTGTGATTCATTAGCGTGATGAAAGATGTCATTTAAGAAGGCAAAAAGAGAGAGGAGAGAGGATGGCCAATCATTTTAACCATAGTGGATTTTTTTCCCCTTGCAAGGTCCAAACTAGTCCAAGACTGGAATTTTTCAGGGAAAAGCTTGACAATGTCCAGACTCCTTTGGCACTGCATGGCTCTGTTATCAAATACGAATACGTGGGGACAATAGATATTTGGTGCCCAAGAGCCTTGGCCAGGCACCCTCCCAGGGAAGGAGGGGTGATGGGCCCTTAGGGCTGCCTGTTTTAGCAAAGAATGTACAGAGCCTCAGACAGTGTGAACCAGGATCTTATCATTATCAGAATGAGAAATTGCCGATGGTTCTGCTTCTCGGTAAACCTGCTAGCAAGTCAAGTGCAAGATTTGTTTCTGTCCTAAATTACAACATGCACTTGCAGGGGCCACAGTGCGGCCCAAGTACGTATGTTCCTTTAGCAAACATATCCCAAGTTAAAAGCACTTGTGTTCTTTAAAGCAGCCCCAGCTGAGCCACCTCCAGCCTCTCAGCAGCATTTTCTGCAGTGTTCTTACCAATGTGGAAACAATTCTAAGCATCCTGACATTTTCTGGCCAGCAGGGTCCGTGTTAAACGGCCATTCATGAGTTCAGCTCTAGGCAGTCCAGTGTGGCCTTCCCATGACCTTAGTTCTTACGGCAGCCTTTTCACTTAGAGAGGCTCCCCTATGCCATGACAGCAAAACTCTCAGCCCTTTCGTGAGTACAGCTGGGTGTTCATGAGGCCACTCTAGGTATTCTAATAGCTTTAAGTCTGTGGTCATCAGGGCACCACTGAGCCAGAGCCTGGCCTGCACTTGAGTGTGACAGGGACGACGTGTACACTTGCCTTTCTGTTCCCACCTCTGTCCCGTTACCACCTCCGAGTCCATCTCAAATGGCTCTTCCACCATCTCCATCATTATATTTACTCACCCTGCCTAGCACTAACCAAGCCCAGCCCCTCCAGGCAGGGATGCGGAGGAGCACAGAGGTGCAGACAGTGGCCCCTTCACGGTGCTCTATAGCGGATGGGGTTCGTGATCCTTGGAGCCTCACCCTGACAGCGGGGAGACCCATGCCTGTTTTTGGAAGTACCATCACCTCTACGTGGATGCCCCCCAGTGACCCACTGCCTCCAGGCAGCCCCCAGTCCTAGCAGAAGGCCACTGTCCTAGCAGGTGGCATCAGCACCTACCAGCAAGCACCTCATGAGAGAAACTGGCTTTCTGAAGGAAATTAAATCCCATCTGTAATTTTTCTAATAGTGCTCATTCTTCAGAGGGAAGCTGTGAAGGTTAACTTTGGCCCATGGTTAACTTAATACTCACAGAAATTCAAATTAGTAATGTCAGAGTTAATGAAGTTTTATAATACCATTGAGCATGTTTAAGTAAGACTGTAAGAAATGAAATACAAATATAGTATTTATGCTTAGTTACAGTGATTGCCAAAGTGGAAAGTTCTGGATTTCTGTGGTCCTTGTAAATGAGTCAGGCAAGGAATGTTGGTTAAAGAGAAGAAGAGTAGTATTAATAAAAAGAAACCTCAGGGAGTTTGTGAGCAGAGGGTCTGACCTGTTCGTCGATGCCATCACCTAATTATAGTGGATAAAAGGTAGAACTCTTCCATACTTTATGTAAGACAGCACTACGGATGTGTTGCTGTGGTTTACTTGTTAGCTTTTCCCGCTGTTCTCAGCAGCTCTAACTTTTGCTATTTTATGGTAGCGGAAGTTCTGGGAAATTCTGAGAAACATGGGGAATGGCAGGGACAAGAGGCTCCACAATGGCAGAAGATCCCACTGAGCTCCAAATAGCAGGCTGATTCAAACCATGACGTGAAACATGGAAATACCATTTTACTCTGTTTTATGAGGACCAAGTTGAGTTTCATTTTAGTGAGTCACAAATTACTTAACATGCTAAAATGAAACTTAACAGCACTCATAAAAGTGGGAGTGAATTGGGGGAAGAAACACAAACATTGTCTATTTTTCAGCAAGTCCCTATAAATCAGGAGTCCCATCATTAATGATTCCTCCTGTTGGCCTCCAGAAGCAAAGAAATCAAGTTAATATGCCTCTAATGTGCAACTTGCCTCAAAGCTGCTGACCGGTAAGGGGTGAGTCAAAAAGCTGAACACGTCTGGGACCAGATGTGTTTGGCTTCATCAGCTTATGTACACTTGCAGCCAATGTACTCTAATTACAGTCACATTTCCTTGGGACCCTAGCTCATGTACGGATCCCTTGTTTGATGAACGGCAAAACATCTTCAGGGCCTGTGAGCTGCTTCAGTGAAGGGATGGTGTCTGATAATCTGTGTTCTCCAAAGAGCTATCTTGAAGGACAGACAGTCTGTGACTGCATTTCACAAAGAAAAAAAGAAGACTGGGTGGGTCACTGGCTCTTAGGGACTTAAGTGATTCTGGAACCTGGAGCCTATTTCAGTGGATCATTTTCAATGTCCAGAATTTATTGACCTCATTTTGTGTACAGTGGTTTTCTATTAGGCAAGTAGAATCACTGGTGGGATTTAGGAGATTTATAAGAGACTCTGACTTCAGAGTCCCCTTGTGTAAAGAAGGGGTCACAAGTATGCAGGAAGCTCTCAGTTGAGTTCAGTTCAGTTACTCAGCTGTGTCCAACTCTTTGCAACCCCATGGACTGCAGCACGCCAGGCTTCCCCGTCCATCACCAACTCCTGGAGCTTGCTCAAGCTCATGTCCATCAAGTCGGTGATGCCATCCAACCATCTCATCCTCTGTCGTCCCCTTCTCCTCCTGCCTTCAATTTTTCCCAGCATCAGGGTCTTTTCCAGTGGGTCAGTTCTTCGCATCAGGTGGCCAAAGTATTGAAGTTTCAGCTTCAGCATCAGTCCTTCCAGTGAATATTCAGGGCTGATCTCCTTTAGGATGGACTGGCTGGATCTCCTTGCGGGAAGCCCTCCTGGGTGTTTATGTACAGGCAGGCCTGTGTTTCAACAGTGCCCACCTGGTTGCTGCTTTTACCCTCCAGCTGACAAGTGTGTGATTATTGGTGCCAAACCTTTATCCAAAGCAGTGCTTACAGCTCTGATGTCATACCCTGCATCCCTTTCTCCTGATTAACCTCCCATAGCAACTTTCAGATTAAGCCTGTAGACTCAGCCACATGGTCACCCCTCTTCCATCCCAGGACTCCACTCACCCCGTGGTTAAGGCAGCATAGCACACACCACGGTGGTGAAGAGAAGCAGAGGCCATCCTTCGACAAGAAGGCAGAAGTGGATGCAAGTTTTACTGAAGGAACAGAGGCCAGAGCTGGAACAGATGGAGAGTCACAACCAGAAAGAAAGCAAGATGCTTGAGGAAGTCTAGGACTTGGGAATGGAGGGTGGAAGTGAGAAGTTGGCTGAAAACAATAAGCCTCGAGTGGTGACCTTGCCCTGCCTGGCACTTGGAGCTTGACGAGCTGTTAGAGAATTATCTTCAAGTTTTCCCCAAAGTCGCGTGAAAAGCTGTTCAAGGACAGCGGGAACAGGGAAGGGACCCCAGTGCTCTAGCATAGCGCCCACCCTCTGGGACTAAGGGCAGAGCCCAGCTTCCTTCCTGCCAGGCCCAAATGGAAGCCTGCCACCCTGCATCCAAAGTGGCCCGTCACTTGGCCATCTGTGCCTCATTCTCAAATACAAGTGGTCAGCCAGAGATCACCAGCTCCCTGAAGAAAACCAGCAGCAGGAATGAGAAAGGACCAAGAAAAACAAGCAGGAAAACTGACCCTGGCAAAAAAAATTGAGATAATTACAGAATTCTGTATGCAGCCAAATGATCAACCAAGCATGCAGGCGAAATAATTTTGGGACATGGAAGAACTCAGAAATTTTATTTTCCATGCTTCCTTTTGAAGAAATGAGGTGTGGTTTAGCAGGATGAGGGTGAAGGCGAGAAGGAGGAAGATGAGCCCAGCAGAACTTGGTGGAGCGACCCAGGAGCCTGGGAGAGGCCAGGCAGGGGTCTGCATCGCTGGCTGAAAGCAGCAATTAAATTTAAAGTAAGAAGTCAGTGATGTCCCTCTAACAGCAGAGAGAGAGGGGGGCAGTGGTTGGAAGATAGCTATCAAGCTGAAGAAAGGAAGTGCTTCTCCTCCCAGCCAGGAACATGAACACAAATGAAGACTGCTGAAATCTGTGTGAGGAAGTCCCAGCTCAAAAATGAGAAACTGAAACCACTCTGTTGAGGGAATGGTCACTGCTGTCCGGCTGGTGGTGCAGAAGAGAAGGCCGAGGACTTGGTTTGAAAACCGAAGTCTTCGGTTCCCCCAGCTTGATGAGAGGTCGGCATTGGCATGCTTTTATTGAGCATGTGTTCTGTGCTCTGTACCATGCAGGCCACTGTGTTTGGGGTGAGGATAAGAACATAGGTTCATAAGACGCCCTCTTTCCCGGGCTTATGGTCCATCTGTGGGAAGATGAGACCAATTCACGTGAAACCTTAGTGA